CATCTTCATCAATCACTTTATATTTTTTTAACTCATGTTCTATATTTTTATATTTTTTTTATTTATTCTTTTAAAATTATTTATATTTTTGAATAAGATACATCCATCTCATGATAATTCTATAATATCCTCATCTTTTCTACTAGGTGGATAGCCTTCATTCTTTTTACCATTGCAATCCCACTTTATAATGGTGTCTAGTGAAAATTCTTTGAGTCTTCAAGATCTTCAAATTCTTTGCGTATCTTTGGCAAATGATGCTCTTTCAAACTATCTTGATTTCTTCCAAAATTTGCACAAACTATTAAAAATTACATTGCCCTTTTTCTGTCTTGACTTCTTATCTTTGCATAAGTTGATCCATCAATCATAACCTTTGTTTCCATTCATATGGCAATAATATATGGTTGTGTCAATATAATAGGATATGTAGATATATCTTGCACAAAGAAATTTTTTTCATAAATAACATCTGCTATTGTCACCTCAATATTTAGGAAGCTCCATAAAAAACTCCCTTTGAATTATTTGCTGCCCTTATCATCCACCCATGCTCAATATCAATAGGCCAATTTTTCCTTTTATAAAATTTTATTGACATTAAATTGATTTCAAAACCAGGATCAATCAATGCTATAATTGGTTCTTCTAATTCTTCTAATTTTACTAAAGTTTTTGTAGTAGCCCTTATCCAACGACTTTAAGAATAATGACTAGAAGCTTGAATCATATCTTCTTTCTTTGAAAATTTGACTTGTGAACCATCTCCAATAATTTTCATTTCAACTTCTTCATCTTCATTGCTTCCTATTGCCTTTGTACCTTATGCATTTGATATCATAGTATGACCAATAGATTGTTGTTTTTTTTTATTGTATCAATAATAACTTTATGGAACTCTTATTTTTCAATTCCTAGAATTTCACAAATTATAAATTCAACCTTTTTACTTAAAATCTACTCCTCAAATATCTTTTTCAAATCTGTAGCAGCTTCTATATCTGATTGTAATTAATAAGCAAGAACCTTTGCTTTTTCTTTCATAATCTCCTTCTCCTTCGTAGAAATATTCTCTATTGTCTCTTTATGCATAGGATTCTTATATTGTCGTATTTTCTCTCTTCTTGTGATTCTTTTTAATGGCCCTTCGTGATTTTTATCTTTCTTTCATTTTTCTTCTATTAATGTTTTATGTTGTCTACTTGTAATATAAGCATAAACTAATAATCTATCTATTAGATCATCCTACTGAGTAATTTGCCAAATATTATTTCCAACATTTTTCAAATCATCTCTAATAAATTTTTTCTTTTCAACATAATTCATTGCACACAACTACAAAGAATTAGATTCCTCTCAATACTCAAGATTTATACTTAAACATTTGCTTAGATTTGCCTCCACCTAAAACGTTGATGCTTCATTACTTGAAATTGTATGCACTTTAAAAGTATCACCCACAAACAACTTCATTCTTCCTTTACCAATATTTTTCTCTAATTTTTTTCTACTTTCTTTTAAGTGTATCATACCATCTTTAAAAAAAATAAATCCTTTATGTAGCACCTCTATAAAATCCTCATATTTTCTTCTTGAATGATCTGTACTATCATACCACATGCACCTATGCACAATACGTTCTATTGGTCTCGATTTTTGTCTTGTTGACATTCATGATGTTTGACCCTTCTCCTCAAGTTTTACAAATTTAATATGTAAATCTCTCATCCCACGTATCATTTCATCTATGCTTATTTCTTCTTTCTTTAATATAGATATTAAGGATTAAGTCATAGATGTAAGATGAATAGAAGGTATTTTTGCTTTAGATGCTTGCAATGGTTTTTGAAAATCCACCTTGTCCTTTTTCCTTTCTCTTTTTATAAGTAACCTATTGCTTCTTTTATTTTCTTCCAATTTGTTGTCATTTTTTTTTTTTTTTTTTTTTTTTTTTTTTTTTTGTTTTTTTTTATCTTCAAGTAAAATTTTCAACTTCTCTTGTAGCTCTCCATCAGTTGCTTGAAGAAATAACTCCACTTTTCTTGAATCTAACAATTATCTTTTTTTTGATAAACAAAAATATTACTTTTTAAACTTTTTCAATAATTCTGTTGCTTAGAAATCCTTCTTAGGTCTTTCAATCCACTTAAAAAATAGCTTCTTTGTAACCCTATCACTATCTTCTAAAAAATATTCATCTTTTATTTCTTGAGATAAATTTTTTCATGAACCTCTAGATTATCCTATACAGGACTTTACATGACTTCTTATTTTTGGTACATTAGCCAGTTCAAATAATTGAACCATCTCCTTTTCTAAAACATGCTTCAATTTTATTTCTTTTATATAACACTTTAGATACTTTGTAATATCTTTCCCTTCAAATTAGTCGATCTTGTCTACAATCGCTTGTAATACTTTGTTTGCCATGCCCTCTTTGTAATCTTTAACATATTGATGTTGCATGAATAAGACAAAAGCCTCAAACATGCTTGCAGGGTTGGGATCAAAATATACATCATATCCTCTAGTAGTTCTACCACTTGTAGCTCCAATTGATGCACCACCTATAGCTCCTCCTTCAACTTTCTTACCTTTCTTTTCCATAGTTTAAATAATCCAAGATAAATAAATACCTTCTACCTCAAGCCTTTTACTTTGGATTTATCAAAATATGTTGTATTATATTGCGTTTGGCTTAAAAATGTACCTGACACTTGGCTTTGGAATATAAAAAGAAAATTACAATAATAAGTCCTAACAACTCTAATAGATTCTTAAATAAATTATAATTAAAGATTAACAATTATAATCAAATATCAATTAAATTCAATTAAAATTTCAAAGAAATTATACACAAAATACAAAGAATTCTTAGAGATCTTTTAATTCTATATAATAAATGGTAGAAAAAGCTAACTATGTGATACATATATAGATAATTTGCCTTGCAAGTTAAGACATATGGCTAGCAGAGTCAACATATTTTGGAGTTCTTATAGGGCATTGTTAGATAGCTCCTAATTAAGAGTATATATGGAGGTAAGACTGAAGCCTTCTTCACTCTTGTCAATGCCTTTCTAGTCCTTAGTTTTATTTCAAGTCTTTCTAATCTTCTAATTTTTGTCAATAGCCATTTTAATTTAATATTACATCATCTTTTGAGTGACTTTTTAGTTCTCAATCTCTAATTTAGAGTAAGAAGAGCACAAATGAAGAGTGCATAAGAATTAGAATGAATTTCAATATATTTTACAAATTAGACAAGCTTTTTGGTATATAGAAAAAATAATTTAGTGTATTCTTTCTAGTATGTATATATAATGAAATCTAATGCAATCCACATCATGGTCAATAATTCTTACTATTCATCTCTTAAGAATTGATCCTAACAAGTGGTACCAAGATTTATTTAGTATCTTAAAAATATAAATTTATATCAGATTAAGATTTTGTATTTAAACAATACTAATTATAACTTTAAAGAGAATTAATATAAAAAGAAGAATCAAAGGAAAGATGATATTTGTATAAAGAAGAAATGTGAAATAATAAGAATGAAGTGAATTAAGAAATATTATAGAGAAGTCTCTTTCTACATCAAAGAACTTCAATATAAAATATTGGTATTTTGCTTTATAGAACTTTAATATAAGATTGAGGTATTTAACTTCTTTTACTTGATAATATAACTAATTATATTTTAGAACTACAAATAATAACTAAATATAAATATTTCTAGTAAAAAAAAGAAGAAAAAATTTTCTTCAATCAATATTGCTTGCAACATCAATAAGACATTGCTAATTAAAGGAGAACTGCCACCTTATAAGTACTTATGAACAAAAAGTGATCTCAATTACTAAAAATAAAATAATGGATATCATTGAATTCTAACAAAAGAATAAAAACTTAAATAAAATTAAAACCAATAGCAACATCAAACAATCAAAACGCATAAAATGGAGAGCTATAATTAATTTCCTCAAAAAGAAGAAAAATAAGATATAAGCAAGGAACTCAACAATTCAAATTCAAGGACAAAAATTGTAAATGATAAAGATCTAATAACTTGGTGGAGATTTTGCAATATCATTTATTAGTAGAATTACTATTACATTTTTGTAAATCCATGATGGTGGAATACTAAATCACAATTGGTCCATAAATCTAAAAGGCCTAAGATACAGCCAAATAAAGGGCCAAGATACATTGGAGGATAATGTGAGCTTATAGGAGGATGTTTGTATAAACTACATCTTGGTAACAATATACACACTAAGTGTATACTTACCTAATCAGAGTTATACACACTAAGTGTATACTTACCCAATTAGAGTTAATGTAATTAAGTTGGTAGGTGAGTGCCGCCAACACACTCTGAATATATGGTTAAGGCTTTGCCTCATGTAATTTATCTTTTACTCCTATCTGACTAAGCAATACTAACGACATTTTGTATTGCGTTCTAAAATGAAGCTTGGTTAGTAGTTGGTTGTTGTAGACAATCTGTCAAAGGGTAGCACACCTCGGCAGGAGGTGTGCTACTGCCATGCTTGCCGATATGGATGCTGTTGGTGGTGAATCATTGTTGATACTCCTCTCGTGAGACAACTCATACGCTTTAGACAGCGAAACAGTACAGCGGCAAAAGTATAATTATTCCTTTTCCCTTGTTTTCAGCAATTACATGTACGTTCTTCTTGCAGTTTAGGGTTTAAGTTTGCTAAAGCGGTAACATCGATAACTGAGCCTTTCAGTAAATGCATGTTGATTTTCCATTTAAGGAGGATAAACTTCCATCCAAATTTAGCCAGTAAATACATTTCTACTGATCAAGACGCCATCCCATCTCATTTTCAGGTGCAGAAAATAATCGTTTCCTCCATTCTGCCGTTTGAAAGATATGTGGAAAAGCTGTGGAGATGTCATCAAAATGAAGAAATCTCATAACTCAGCACTGTGAATTATCACTTAGTTAATTCTGCTAGTGTTCATAAATTAATCCAACATCCTGGTGCAGGTACGGAAATGACCAACGTATCAGATGCACTTTCACCTGCAAGTAGCGGATCATCATCAAGCTAGAAATTGCCCATACGAACTCCAATTCTCGCCTCCTATTCCAGCATATTATCACCAGCTTTCATACTTGCACAACTCATCTCTTCGTTTCATTGATTTTTCTTCAGCCTCTTGTCATAGTTGCTGCATCACAAGTATCAAGATGGCTAAAGTTTTTGGAAGCGTTGCCGTTGCAGTGGGAGTGTTGCTGGTCCTAGCAGCAGTGGTACAGGGCCAGGGTGCCTGCAATGCCGCGACCTTACAACCATGCCTTGCGGCCTCCAAGGGAACTGCTGCCCCAACCACGCAATGTTGCGCGGCTGTTAAGAACGTCGGGGGTGCAGCTGGTGGTCCTCAGTGCTTGTGCAGCTTGACCACCAGCGCTCTTGCCAGGGCCAATGGCGTGAATCCCGATGCTGCCATGGCTATTCCGCAAAAGTGTGGCCTTGCCGTTCCCAAGGGCTTCACGTGCAACAGTAAGCTTCTCTTTACTCCCTTATCATGTTGACGGATTGCCCCTCTTCTTCACACCACCAATACATTTTGATCTTAGAACTTCTAACGCTGTCAAGATATTTCATTAAGTTTCCGGTCTTCTTCAATGACGACTAATCGCTCAAGCATGATCTGAGATCTAGAACCTCATGTCGTTTCTGTTCATTGATGCTCGCAGACAAGCCAGTTCCTGGCTCCTAGACAAACAGACCTCCTCATGGCGCTGCCAGCAATGGTGTGCTGTGACATACCGAGAGAAGCGAATGTTTCACGATGGTGATTGTCGAAGCAGCAGTGAATGTGCCACACGTTGATCATACAGATCTGTAATGACTCCTGTGATCGAGTAGTAGTAATTAGGCTGTATGTTCGAGTAAATAAGTTACTTCCAAAGTACCGCAACTACACGACCACTAGCTGGCACTGGCTGATTCGCCGCCAGTGTAAACTTTGGATTTGTTCATGTAAGTGAGAATGGACTATTTCCTTATCAGTTTTCTTGCCGTGAGGGATGTGAATCGGCTGAATGTTACAGCTTGAAGATTGGCAGGTGATGTCAATGTCTCGCTCTCCTTTTGTGGTGTTGGGTGCAAGCAATTTGGCTGGTTTGGGAGGGGAACACATTTGCAGCATGTCTTGAAGTGGCTCTTGTTGCACACTGCAGTATTTCTCCTCTTTATGACCACAAGCAGATCGTCAGAAACATCCATCTAGACTTTTTCTAAACCAAATCCGAAGTATTTAGTTTCATAATTTTTCTTGAAAAGGCAACTGTTTTGAGAAAATAAATGTGATCAAATGTTTTATTTTAGAGCCGGACTTGATGTAAGAAATTTTTCAAACATGTCTCATTTTCCGTATGTGAGCGTAGAGAATCGTAGTGTGATTATATTGTTTCACTATTCATGTTGTATCTGGTTATATTATTTTGATACCCTAGTCACCACTAAAAAAAATACCATTGTGTTGTAGCTGATGTACTGGCCGCTTGACGGAATTTTCACTTATTTTCTTCTAACCCTTTGTTTACCTTCTCATGCCAAAGCATTGATTTCAACCACACCTTAATAGAAATGTGAACTACATTAATGCCAAATCAACACCCGCCTAGTTATCTACAGAAAGTATTAATATTTCAGGTATAATATGTATATTTTTAATTGATATACAAGTCAAAGCATGACAGTGGGCAAGTTCCAGAGTATTTTGATAAAATTATGGATAAACACAAACAGTTGGGTGGGTTGTGCAGAGATATTCAGAGGTTTTCGTTTATTAAAAACAAGTAAAAGAAAATACGGATTAACAAATTCAATATAAAAATACATTAGGAATTTTGAATATAAACTTAAAAAATGAATCAATACACAAATACAGTGAAACACTATTGCAGAGAATGATCCAACACATTATAAATCCAAATGTATTGAAACACAAGGTAAATTCGTCCTGTCTATCTCTTCAGTTCAGATTCAGTTAACACAACAAACATCATCATTTTCCAGCAGGGTACCAGAAGAAGGATGTATAAACACGAGCTCAATTTGAAGGCTCATTCATCAAAATTAAACACTTATCTCAGGAGTCCTATAGATACGCCGCTGAACGTGGCATACAAAATATTAGCACGCAGTAGTGTCCAAGATGGCAATCACAATGCAATCATCTCCAGTTATGTGACCTTTTCAATCTATGCTCTTCTATCCAATATCGAATCATGGGAGACATCAACAAACAACACTCCTGTGTCAGGACTAGAACACAATCGTGTATTTTTCTTCAGACTTGATCTAGAAGAACTAAACTAACGTGTGAGGGCTGTTCTTATCTTTCAGCTCAGACGCCTTCAGGGTGCATCAGCGTGGTAGTAACCCAGTTAATTGTGGCCCAGCTCCAGTATGCACGCTTTGATTTCTCCGCTGAATGCAACTCAAGCTCCTGTGTCATTCCTCTTGAGCATTGTTGTATTGAGCAAAAATAGATCGATCAACTGTACTGATAGATAGACGAATGAATGTACAGGAGGGGAGTTTTCCATTAAATATTGATGCTAGAATATGCAACAAAAGAATGTTTCTAAGACTTCGAATTGATCCACGAAGTGCTTAACCAGTTAACATAGGTTAACTGGTAATGATAGAATACGGAGATGGAAACCAAGGTAATGGCAAACATGAGGATTAAACACAGGGGTATATTAATCAAAGGATAATCACAACATCCTCCCTTACATCTATGTTCAAATGTATTTTGTGCAATTAATCAAACTATACGATTCAGTGTAGAGCGGAATTATTTCCATAGCAGCACGGTGTTTTTCAAATTTGGGACAAGAAAAAACCTTGTTTAGAATGTCAGCTGGTTTCTCTTTAGTAGATATGTATTGAATTTTTATCTCTCTTTTAAGGATTTTTTTATGGATAAAATGATGATGAATTTTTTTGAATTTTGTGCATGTGTGAAAGACATAATTTTTAGCCAGTTTGATAGCTCCCTAGTTGTAGCAATATATAGTAAGTGATAAAGAGAGGAAGTTGGAGAGGATCTTGGTGATTTTACAATAAAGAAGAATAGTGTTGGTAGAAACTAAGTTGAGTTTGAGTAATAATCATCTAATATATACTTCTTCTTAGGAGTTGTTGGAAAATACTAAGTATTCAAATTTAGTTGATAATCGGGATATTATTAGTTGTTGTTTATTATTTCAAAAAACAAAACTATTGTTAAGAGTGAATAAATAAGTTTCCTCAAAATGACAACTGATTGGACAAGTGGCTTAATTAGCATTAGTGAAATTATGGAAATATATATCAACATCTCGCTTATAAAAAATTCCATAATCATGCATGTATTTAATAAATTTTAAAAAATATAAATTTATTTGAAGATGTTCTTCATGTAATTTTAAAGAAATCAATTCTATATTTATTATAAATCCAATGTCCTACTAACTAGGCTTACAATCTAGCAAAAATTGAGTTGATTGATTTTTTTTAAATATCTAATTACAAGATATATCTTATTTATTGGAAAATAAGAGAATTAGGATCTAAGTTATTTTTTTATAAATTAATTTATATTCTTCTTTTATTTTTGTATGCCAATAGGAGTGAAGTTAGCCATAACTAAAAGACATATTGTTGCTTATTGATTCATCTATTTCTACAATGAATGCATCAAAAATTGTTGTTCATAAATATATGTGATAATCAACAAGTTTTATATTAGGTGTACAATCTTGGGATGGAGAGTGATGTATTAGTAATACAAAGCTAATATCTAATAACTAGGTGTGAGATAGATCTAACTCCAAGGCATAAAGTAGCTTTATAAAAATCTATGTAGTTTTATTAAGTGATTCTATTAATGAATCTATGTGATATAAGAAGGTTTTTTTTTAAAAAATGGTACTGCTATCTAATAAATCAATGTAGATATTGTATTTGATAGAGAGTTTTTATCAAAGTCTTTGGTAATTGGAATTGTCAGTGGAATAGAATGTGCATCTAATTCAAATTCATTAAAGCATATATCTTAACTTATTAGGATTTTTCATTTTTGTAGTGAAAAAGATGAATCTACTTTGGTAGCTTCATCATTTTTAATAAAAATCATCTTAATGGAATTTGGATCTAATTTGGATCATTGAGTGGCTATGATATTTAGGTAAGCAAAGCATCTATTAACTTTTAGATGACTCAAGTATAAATTTTGACCAAAAAAAATTCTATAATGAGTTATAGCAAATCATATATTTTCTTCATAGCCAAAGAATTCTAAGGACTAATTCCAAGTTAGTCCTTTGAATAAGATGTCAAAAATTTATGTATCTAAATTATTGATGCCATAAGTCAATATTCTCTTACAATTCTTATCTATATTACATGTTAGTTAGAAAAAAATTTATTATTTCTTATTTTTTAAAAAAAATTGCAATGTGATTTTTAAATAAAATAATCTATTAGATAAATCATGTACTTTGTAAATGAATATGATTTTGTTTTTATCTGGAACTAAGCATTTTTTGGATGTAAAATATACTATATATCTAAGATCTGTAATTTTTTGAACAAATAAGAGATTGTCGCAAGCATGTAGTATATACAAAATATTAATAACTTCTTCTTTTTTTCCAAAATGGAATTTATTTTTTCCTTTAATTTTTAGTATTGTTTCTTTGATAATAGATATTATATAATAAGTGACTATAGATATATTATTGAAAAATTTGCTTTGCTTTCTAATTAGATGTATTTTTGTACCAAAGTCAAAAAACCACTAATTCTTGTCTTTTGTAAATTTAAAAAATTTAACTTCTAAGGCTTATTCGGTTGCAATAGTTGGTTTTTCATTGATATATCTATGATCATGTCTACAATTATTTTGTCTAATATTTGAATTGTATCTATATCCTTTATTACTAAAAATTCTTTGTGCTATGAGTGTTTTTTCACTAGGTTAATAACACAACAAATTTGGAAGGTAGTAGAGACTACTTGTGTGATTACTTTAATGGTTAGTTAATTTATCAAGTGGTCGTAGTTCTAACTTTTTAGATAATAGCTTCCAAGTAATGATGTAACTTAAATCAAGTAATAAAAAAAAATAAGAAAAAAAAGAATGTAGCCAGAATGAAGGGAAAAAATAGCCAGATGAAGGGAAAAAAAAAAAAAAAAAAAAAAAAACCAGCTAAATGAGACAACACAGTTGGATGAAAATAGCACTATTAAACAGAGATAGCGCCGCTGGATGAAATAGCACTGACAGATGAAAACAACTCTATTGACCAGAAATAACACTGCTGTATGAAACAAGTATAGCTAGATGGAAATAATACTACTGGATGAAAAAAAACAGCACATGGCAGAGCAACAGCAGCAAAAAAATCTTTCAACTTCAAATCCTTATAACTTTTCCAATTCAACTCCTAATTTGATGATTTTTTGGCCCAATCTTACTGATTTCATCTCTCCTACATAAATAACATTTCTAACCAAAAAAATAATTCCACTAATAGTAAACTCCAAGAGGACCAGCAAGGATATAAAATAATTAACTTATAATATAAATTTATAACAAATAAAAACACCACAATTCTTTGGTGTTTCAATGGGCCACCTTTACTAAAGTCTCAAATCAAAGGTGGAAGAGAGAGAAATAAAGAATAAGGCTTTGAAAGGGCCTTACATATCCAAGCCTTCAAGGTATTTATGAATAATTATCTTACTAGTAACTTGTAAGTAATAACTAATTTGAGAGCCTTCTCATTAACTAATCCATGCAAGTTGTATAATTTGCATATCAATTTATCTTATTCTAAGTAATTCTAACTACCAACCAATATTTTTAGCACCATTATTTATTGAGAGATCAATCTACACCCCCTATGATTTCCAACTACTGCCATTTGTAAAAAAAATTAATCATTAGCATCCATTTATCACAAGATGATGATAAATCACCATAGATATTAATCAATGGATAGGTTTTAGTTTTTAATAACTTATTCAATTAAAACTTATATAAAATAACTTACTAGCTTTTGAAAAGGATTTATTAGGAATCAACTTCATTTATTATTATAGG